GCATCAGCAGCTCGTGGTAATCGCGAAGGTAAACCTAACTCCATTGGTAATATTGGATTATGACCATATAGAAATTTATATGGTGAAACACCAATAGAACTCTACACCTCTATGACATATTTATACCAAAGAAATGGCAAATAACCATCCCAATCCGAATGCTAAAAGTTCATGTACTTCGTAATCATTCCTTTAAATGTCCAAACCACCCATTCCACCAAACCATTTGACTGTGGATGATAAGCACTCGTGAAAGTGTGGCTTATCCTCAACTGAGACGTCAAAACGTGAAATGCCTTAACCATAAATGCGGGATCATTATCCGAAAAAATCTACTCTAGAAAAGAATGCTAGAACACCACTCGATTGAAGAAGAAGTATTCAGCAACATTTGCAAAGGCACTAGCAAAAGCACCAACTTCCACCCAACGAGTCAAATGATCAGAAGCAATAATAACATATTCATTGCTAGCAACCGATTGTGGAGAAGGTCCCATAAGATCAAATGCCACCAACTTAAACAAACAAGAAATTGCAATTCACTCCAACCGTCCTTTTGCGGCATGAGGGGGAGTATTACAAGCCTGGCACCAAATGCAGTTACACACATATTGGATAACATCACGTCACATCTTTAACCAATAGAAAAACTTATGTAGCTTCTTGGTCACACAACGATGTTCCATATGCTCATCTAGAATAGAAGAATCATGGTAGGCATGGCGAAATTGTGGAATAAAAACGGAAGGAACCACCAGCTATAAAGGATTATCAGGAACTATCCTCACAAAATAAAGAAGGCCGTCTTCAAGGTGATATTGAGAATGTAAATGCCAGAATGGCAAGTCATCAGTAAGTGATGCAAAATTCTCAAACTCATCTTGAAGCCTTTGAATCCACAACTTAATATTTTGAGCCTCATGAACCTTATCAAAAGAAGATAAATCTTGCTTTGCACCTTGTGGACACTGAACGTCAAGTACAACAATTGCCGACAGCATAGAATCCTCATCGAGAAAATCTATGGTAGAATAACAGACTCATCAAAAATATGAGAAGAGAGTGAAGAAGGAAGAGGAGTTTGAGAAAGGGCATTATCATCAGCCATAGAATTCCTCGGGGGATGAACAATATCAAAATCATATATCTAAAGCTTCAAAGCTTACCAAGCAATACAACTGTAAGCTCCTAAATTTGGACTTCCTGATAAGTCACCCAACCTAGTATTATTCAAACCTAAGGATGTTTAACCTTAACTATCCCAAGACCTTTAACCAATTGGAAAAGGTAATGCACTTTTGTTCATGGGCCCTTTCTTTTTATATTTGAACCCCATAGATCATCTCTCAAATCATTTTTTTTGGTTGTTTACAATGACCAACCAGGTTCTTCCGCTTTAATAATGAAGTAACAACAACATAATCACCCTTTAGTAACGTCCGAGAACTATGTAGATATGCATGAAGTTTCTTAAAACCCTAGACTACTGTTAAACACTCCTTTGTCGTGGAGTAGTTCATCTCTCGTAGTTGTAATATATAGCTTATATACACAATGGGATGGTGCTAACTAGGCACACTTGGGCTCTCTTGTATGCACACACCTCCAAGACTATATCAAAAGC